TTTTTTTTTTTTTTTTTTTTTAAACTACTAGAGAAATATCACTAATACATACAGATCTAAAAGCAGCATAGAAAGATACAGGTTCTTCACCAACTAGGAATAAAGAGACTAAATGTGGGCATATGGTTAAACTACAATGCATCTTCACATTTGTCCAACACATTTACAAGAAAAACACCATTGGGAAACCTCACAGGACAGAAGTGTTGTAACACCAAGAGAACTACTAGTTGTTTTATTAAAAATCCAAACCGGGTGGGGTTGAAAATTTTTGGAAAGGGGCTGGAGCTGGAGCCACCACTTTTTAAAAATTATTTTTCAATATAAAATGAATGAGCTGGAATAGATCCAATGTCTTACTCTGTGGAACCTTGTAAAAGTGAAGAAACGTTGAAGGGTTATTTAGGGCAGCTGGCTGATGTCCGAGCTGCCAGAATGCTAATTAACTGCAGGCTGAGTCTCTTACTTCTGTGTGTGTGTGTGTGTCTGTGTGTGTGTATACATATATTTTTAAAAGAAACCTTTTGTCTTATGGCAATTTTTTTTCTTGCTGTTGTATTCATACATCCCACTGCAAATCATCTTTCATTTTTCATTCTGTTGACCTGGATAGTAGTATTTGTTTTCAGAAACAGGAAGAGGAAAAAAGCAAAAACAAAAACAAAAGGAAAACAAAAACAAAAACGAACATCTGTGTCTCCTTCCAATCTGCTGCACATCTGCGCGTTTTGTAGCGGGTCTTCAAAGTTCAGTTAGCAACCCACGGACGCCATTCATCTTCTTGTTAAAATGTCTACTGCTGTATCCAATGCTCATGCCCTTGAGGATTTTCCTCTTTTTTTTTTTTCCCCCATTATTATATATAAAGAACATTGTGACTTTTAATATTAGCATTTTTGCTTTCAACAGCAATTAGCAATCTCTTGGTTTGCTGTTTGGTAAAGCATCGGTTAATGAGGTCATCTAGTTTAAAATCCCAGCTACTGGAAAATAACAGGGAGGAGGTCAAATCTATCATTTTATGTTATATTCTCTGCTCTCTTTTCAGTTTTCTAAAGAAAAGATATCTTTGTTATCCACAATAAGTCATTGCGACCCGTTACTGGCCCTCTGTATTTTACTACCACCTCAAGATACAATAAGTTCTCTCTTGCTGAAGTACTGAAATATGATAGTTCATCTATAAACAAACAAACAAACAAAAAAAAACAACTTTGAGCATCTGAGGATGAGGAATTGGTTTCGTGTTGGTTTTGTTGTCTTTCCTCCGACAGTTCTGAGTTCACGTCTAGCGAGGGGTTGTTTCTATGGTGGAAGGGGTTCCCGGGGTGGTTGACCTTGGAGTGGCTGCTGGTGGTGTGTCCATAGGGCTCCCAGCCCCGCTGTTGGGTGTGACAGAGGAGCTGACCGCGGGTGTGTCTCCCTGCTGCTGGGCCTGCAGGGTCTGTCCACAGATGTGGTGGTGTTTTTCCCAGTCTTTGTGCTGGCAAAATGAGCCACAGTATCGGGCTGTGTTACAGCCACTGCAGGTTTCACTCGCTTTACGGCCACAATTCCAGCAACTCTAAAGGGAAAGGTAGGAAAAAGCAAAATCTCAGATTAATGCACTGTTGTCTATAAAATAAGGTAGGCAACACTGCAGCCTTATTTTCAGGAACTATACAATCAAAGGATTCTTTGGGAGGTGAAAACAATAACATGCTTTGTTGCTATCCAAAAGTTTAGCAGTTCAAGTTCTTCCAGAGATGTTTCAGAAGAAAGATCCACTTCTAAAATATCAGTCATTACAAACCCTATTGAGCACCGTTCTACTCTGACCCACTTAGAGTGTATTGAGTTGGAATTGACTCCACAAAAGGTAGCTATATATTAAGAATGACAAATCCAAGTCGTGTGTGTGTGCACACTAGACACACAAAAGATGTAAGCCTTAATGTAAGCTGCCCAAACTTTCTTGCCAACAATTGTTACCGCATCTAGTATAAACTAGTTTTTAGTATAAAATCCCTTCTTTCAGCTTTGCTTTTGCTATCTTCATATCTAAATTCTCATTCATCAGTATTAACACTGCTATTGCCATTATTTTTTATTTTTTTCCACTTCAATATCAATAATGGAGTGCTGGTGTGGCACTATGGGCTGGACTGCAAGGTCAGTTTGGACCACAAGGTTGGCAGTTCAAATTCACCATGCACTCTCTGGAAGCCCTATACAAGGTCACTATGGGTCAGAATCAACTCAATGGCACTTAACAACAAACAATACCAATAATGCCACAATGTTAATTGCCGTTGATTCGGTTTCAACTCATAGTGATCCTGTATAGGGTTTCTGAACAGCAGCTGGTGAGTCTGAAACACCACCCTTGTGATTCAAAGTGACCTTGTGGTCCAGTGTTTTTCCTATTGTGCCACACCACAAAAATATCACTCAGGGCTGAAATTTCTTCTCCTAAACACTAACAGGAATCACAAAGAACCATCAGAACTCTATATCAGATTCACAGAACTATACCTATTCCTTATCAACTTTTTTGTATTTGTAACAATAGTAAAAAACTATTCAGGACATTAATGAGGCATCGGGCATGATGGTAACAGCTTTGGCGTGAGGAGGGTACCATGTTCAGCTGTCAGTCATATAGTGCCAGCCTCTCCCATGGTCATGGACTCTGGGGGATGTGCAGGCCTGTGCTAGGTTACCAGTTTCTGTAAAGTCTAAGGGCCTAAAGCTTTTAAAAATACTGTGGAGTGGAAAGGGAGGAAAGGCATGGGAGATGGTGTCTGGACAAAATGCACATGAGTTTAGGAAATCCAAAGTGAGTGCCAAAGAGAGGCGGATGCTCAGCCAGGTTCCTAGTGTCCTGGTAGAAGCCCTGGGCCCAAGTGAATTGCCAGGCCTGGAAGGCAGATCAGGCTTGGGATGCAGGGGGTTATCAAAGCAGCATTGCAGGGTAGGCGAAGAGCCCTGGAGCCAGCTTCCTGAGGGAAGCTTTAACACAGCAAAGGAGGAAGAGGAAAAAATTCAACTGTGAGCCCTCCAGTTACAGTTGGCTTTATTGAACTTTGTTTCCTCCAAGCCTCCTTTTCCACAAATCACAGTTGGACCCTAACACAATGATGAGCACGTTATTATTGTAGTTGTTTTTATTCCTATGATTATTTTTTCTATTTAAAAAAAAAATCACGCAAATGAATGATTTGAAAAAAAAACCCAACTTCACTTTCACATAACAGCCTTGTCTTTAGAACTTAACCATGTTAATAAGTCAGGAGTAGTATAATGTGATACATAGAGGATTCTAAAGAGTGTGAGGAAAGGTACTTTAACTTCTTCATGTATTTAGGATCCGCACTGGACTGCAAACCGTAAGGTGAGTGTTTCAAATCTACTAGATGCTCCTTGGAAACCCAATACGGGGTTGCTATGAATCAGAACCAACATGACAGCACTTAACAACAACAACCTCCACTAAAACCAAATTCATTATGTCTTACAATGAAGTACTAAGACAGTCTCCAAACAACTGACCTTTACTTCAGCTCCAAGGAGGGCAGGCAATTTGGTCTGTACTTTCATCATACATCCTACGCACCCAGAACAATGCCTGCTATATTGTTGTTGTTAAGTGCCTTCCAGTCAGTTCTGACTCATAGTGACCATTGTATAGGGTTTCAAGGAGTGAGTGGTGGGTTTGAACTATTGACCTTGTGGTTTGCAATACAGTGCCACACCAGGACTCCAGGTAGATGGTGTTCAGAGCGACCCTGTACAGGGTTTCCGAGGCTGTAAACCTTTATGAGAGCAGAAAGCCTCATCTTTCTCCACGGAGTTCTGGTAGTGTAGTGGTTACGAATCGGGCTGTGAACTGCAAGGTCAGCAGTTCGAAACTACCAGCCGCTCCGTGGGAGAAAGATGAGACGTTCTGCTCCCATAAAGATTTACAGCCTCGGAAACCCTGTACAGGGTCGCTATAGGTCGGAACCGACTCAATGGCACTTAACAGCAACACTACCAGATGGTAGGTGCTCAATATATATTTATATATGAATAAATCAAGACTATGGCTAATTTTTCTTTGAAAATGTTTAAGTATAAAAATGCGACAGTGTTCATTATAATTTCACACAATGCTTTCCATTGGTTGACGCTATTTTTTATTAAGGGAAATAGATGACATGGTGGCTCATCTGAAAGCAAGTACAGTACTCAGGCATGTGTGAGCCTGTTGCCATTATCCGTGGTGCTTTCTAAGTCATGAGGAAAGGTTGCCCTCTGAGATTTAAATGGCAAGAGAATCATGTCATAAATCAGAGTACAGACATGTCATGCCACCTACTAGAGACTAAAGAGCGTATCTATAGGTTCCAGGGGTGGAGGAAGAGGAGGAGAGACAGTGCCCTTACATGCTCTTCCAAGAAATGGAGAGAACCAACTTTAAACTTGGGTAGTTCGTTTGGCAAGACTATCCCCACTGAGAAATGGCTTTATCAAATCATCTTTGCTCTGTGCCGGTAAAGTTCTTATTCTTGATTTTGCTATTCTTGTCAAACAAACCTCTAACTATATATACTTTGGTAACCCAGCTAACTGACAGTACGTGCTTTGTTGTTGTTGCTGTGTGCCATCGAGTCAGCTCCAAGTCACAGTCACCCTGTGTAGGATTTCCAAGAGCAGTTAGTGGGTTTGAAGTGCTGACCTTGTGGTTATGTGACGATTAAAATGGAAATTCTAGTATGTTGCTCTTGCTAAGTGCTGTTTGTTATTGTTACCTGCTGTTGAATCCGTTCTGACTCATAGGGACTCTGTATAGGGTTTTCGAGGAGGTTCTGGTGAGTTTAAACTGCCCACCTTGTAGGGTATCTTACAGAGCCACAGCAGGAATCCACATTAAATATCTTCCTGCTGTGTTCCCTATATTCATCTTGTTTTCAGAATACTGGTTGTGCAGTCTCAGGTGGAGTTGGTTCTAACTCATAGCAACCCTGTATAAAGTTTCTGAGGAGCAGCTGGTGGGTTTGAACTGCTAATCTAGTGATCAGCAGCTCTGTGCTTACCCTACAGCTACAGTACCACACCAGGTCTCCATGTGTAAAAATATGCAGAGGGATTTTTCAGTTGTCATTCTAATTTCACTAATGGATTAAAAACAAAATCCTAGAAAGACAGTGATCTACTTCTGTAAGCCAGTCAGTGAGGCCCCCTTGGATCACAAAAGTCTAACCCCACTGTACTCAGGGTTGCGAGTCAGGGATCAGCCTGACAGAAGCTAACGAGAAAAAGACAAGGGTTGTTTAAGTGTGGGTTGTCTGCAGATTCATATGGTTTTTAGCTGTTAAAAAGGTTCCAGCTCTGTATTCTAATATATCATTCAGAAACTATGGCTCATTGTGAAGATTAACAATCAGTACTAATTTAATCAAGAAAATAACTCAAAATATACGCAGCTATGATCAGAGAGCTCGTAAGCATAACTAGAAGCCCTTCTCTCTGAAGAGCCATAGGATCACATTGCATATTCACCAAAAGGTGAACAAACAAACATAGGCCTGGCCCATCCTTCAAAGCAGCAAGTGAGGTGTCTGACACTCAATGCTGTGAATGAAGTTCACTTGCTGGTGGCTTAGGCTCTTAGAAAAATGCCAGCTGGATCCTGGAACCAACTCAGCAAATAAGTGGTATTCCTAAATTACATCAGAAAATTCCAATTAGAGAATAGAGACCTAAATCCAAAACAATATTTTAAGGAAATTAAACATCTAATCTGAGTCAAGTGGCTTCTTTAGGAAATACCCTGGTGTGAGTCCTATCCTTTTTTTGGCAGCAGCTCATTTTGGCAGGCACAGGGTGGTTAACTGCCCAATACTCAATGGCTCCTTCAGATTGAAATCAGATGTACACAACATTCTCAATTTAAACTGATTAAACACACAGACTAAACCAGGTAATTACAAATGCATGTGTTGGGGAGTGGAAAAAAGAGACAGAATGGGACTTCTTTATTTTTTTAAAGTGTTTTCAAAGATGGGAATAATTTTACAAATAAAAAAGTGGAATTACGCCAACCATAGAAACAGATGTTTTGGATAGTGGAGCTGCTGAGAACTGAGACTTCTTGCCTAGTATCCCTTGGTTCTGGGCCAGGATTACCTCTAGTTCCATTCCTAAGTTGTTAGATCCCACTCATTTGCCACCCTCCACAGGGACAAAAGTAACCTTCAGCTGTAGGAAGGTACAACAAAGAGCAATTTAAATGATATGGCGTTGGGACAGGGAGGCTCCACAATTTTATTGTTCTTAACACTGTCCTGCAATGATTGTGAAAGGAAGGTTAGTTTAAGTGTCAACTAACTAGAGAACTCCAAAGTGCATTACAGAAAATGCCATTTCTATATTTCTCTCCTGAATTTACTTTTGGCTAATCCACACCTGGAATCTTGATGTGGCGCTGTGGGTTCATGTGCAGGATGGCAAAGTCAGTTTGAGCTATAAGGTTGGCAGTTCAAGCTCATCAGCCACTCCTCAGAAACCCTATCTATATAGGTTCGCTACGAGTCAGAACTA